TTCCTGTTACATTTACTACAAAATCTGGGATGGCAACTTGGTCCCTTAACATTTCAACCTGTACTGGATGTACAGTATATCATGGATATATATATGAATATAAATATAATGGATATAATGGTACTGTAAAATATATAATTTCTTGGACTACTTTAGTCTGTTTTGTACTTTAAAATCGAACTCAAAGATGAACATTGCATACATTAATGCAACCAACTTGACTTAAAATATAATTGGAATGATTAAATTATGAGATGACCATTTTTATATACACAATACTCTTATTAGTATCATATATATATTTTTTGAATTTTGTTTTAACTTATATTATTTTTTATTATATATTAAAAATTCTATTATATTTATATTATACATGCTTTTGTCACTTTTTTTCATTTATATTATGCTTTATTTTTTTAAGTCATTTTAGTACTTCAACTTAAACATATAATTTCATTTAGTTGCCAAAGCTACATTTTTAATTTGTTTTAATTTTAAGCCTTTCATCTTCTAATATTTATATTTTATTTTATTTCAGCTTTATTTGAATTATAGAATATCGTTTTAGTTAACTATAAAAATACTGGTACAAAAAAACGAATTTTAATAAAATCTCAATGTTAAATTCTGTTGTTAAATTTACTAAAATTATTCTATGTAAAAGTATAGTAATGTTTATTTGTTTTTGTTTCACTGGGCGTTTGCAACTTATGAAGATTAAATATATTTACTGTATAAATAATTAGTTTGTGCCCCAGATGTCTGCAGCGATTGTATCTGCTCTCAGATAATGGTTTATGATGATTCTGCATATTTTTGTTCTTCAGGGGTTGGCGTTATTGGGAAGCACTCACTCTCTGCCTCCATTTCCTGTCCCGTTAATCGCTTCCAGGTGAGAGGTGTTCCTCCGACCTCTTCTGGGAATGCTTATTAAAACTGTTTTCCTATTGATATCGTGGGTTTGATATTTACCAGATTTGACAAAGTAAAGATCTCATGTTTGGCATAATATTACAAGAGAAATATAAGTGAATTATTTGGCCTGCACGGCTGGAAATATTACATTGTTAAAGCGCAGGCTTGAAACTCAATCCTCGGTCCCACACCACATTTGGTTTTCATTCTTTTTCTCGAAAATTTAACAATAGCACCCAGGGATTAAGTCATGAGGCAGGTCGCAGCCAAACCAAACATCCTGCCTCCTACAGAATAATGAAGACAGATGAAAAAAGGAAACAGGTGTAAAGTGTACTTTTTTTCCCTGTTTTCTCAAGGAGGCGTTTTACGCCGAGGTTGTCTTCGAATGAACGAAGGCCGTCTAAAAAAGAAAAAAAACGAATACCAAAACAAAACAAGGGATGTTATTCTTCTTTCAACACAAGCAGGGTTCCCGGGACGCAAGCTCTCTGGGATGTTGCAGGAGTGATGGGGCTTTCTCCAGCTTGCCTCTTAGCCGCTAGGATCGAGTTTCCCGCCAAGGGGGGTGCGACAGCGCTTCTTCCCCAGCAGAGCAACCACATCCAGCGACACTTCGTCTCGGTGACCCGGTCACACTCTCCACACGGCCCTCTCGCTTCAGGGCCACACAAGGTCCGATTGGCAACGGAAATGATAATATTTCTTCAGCTGATACCGCGAGCAGTTTCAAAATGGAGAGATCGTGGTGAGAGAATGAGGTGTGGTTTTAGGCGGAGGTGATGACAGGAAGGAGGGACTAACTGGGAAGAAACGCCGCTGCGGTCACACGCAGTTATAAGCCTCCTAATTAAAGTGAGATTTTCTCTTCTACAGCGGCAAACTGATTTGGTTTGAACAGTTATTCTGAGGTGATTTTTGCATCCACCTTGGCTGTGAAAGACATGCATCTTTAAAGCAGTATTCATCGAGAGCCATCCGGTAACACTTGTCATACTCAATGACAGGTGGAGGAAGAGCAAGTAACAAGTGTTCAGCAATGCATGTCTCACTTTATAAGCAAACGCACATCAACTGAATCAAACCACGTCAATTCCTCTTACGTTAGATCACCGCGTGACCCATGGATGTCAGCGTGAGATCTTTCCCATTCCTGCTCCGTATATGGAATTCTCTTTGCTAGTGGCCCTAACAAACATTTAAGCGTATCTCACGATCAAAACCGAGATTGGCTTTGACAAGAATGATGGATCACTTCTCAATAACTCACACCTGCAGAGGCCATTTGCTTGTGCCACGCTGTAACACAATCGTCAAATCCGGGAGGGAACCGCAACCAACAGCGGGAGATACGCCTAAATAGGTTCTCCTTCAGACGAGAGCCGACCATAGCGCAACACATGGTTTTGATGGGCCGATGTGATCTTTCCAGAGCTCCTTCAGCGATCGTGGCTTCCCTGGCTGGAGGTGAACTTTTGCACGGGTGATTTATGCACCTTGTGAACTGTGCAGAGTTGGTGGAGGGATCCTATGTCATCATAGGCTGAGGCCTCATGCACTTCCTGTTTAAGATGACTTACAGTTCCCTGTCAGTCCTCTGGGCCCGTTTTACTGCTGCCCAACCCCTCGCAGAAGCAACGGCGGGCCTGCACTGTCACTACGACATCATCAGGACACAGGAAGCACGGCCATTCCTTACTTGTCAGGGTGGCTGATACACAGATGGGCCGTACTTGAGGAGTGACTTCATGGCATTGAGTTCTCTGACTCACCCACACACCTGGAAAGGAAGTCTTTGAGAACGATTTCTTGTATTATTTGTACATATTAGGGGCACATTGGGGAACAACATATAAAATATAAAAATGGAAAAGGTACATTATCAGTCAAATGTTTTCTCACACACACACACTCATTTGTATTTCTACTTCTTAACTGAATAAATTATTTTGTTGAACGATGACTTTTTAGAGCGAGCTATTCTTTTAGGGTCATGCGAAACAAATACAAACCAGTGTCTCTCACTCACTTACCACAAACTCTTTACTTGTTTTCATATTCAACTAAAGCCCCATTTTTCTTCTGAAATATCCATCAAACAAGAATATGAAACGGGAGTCTTGCCCTAAAACTGTCAGGTGTGGCTGGTGGTTTCAAGCTTTGACAAACCAGCTCTAAATGTTTCCCCTTTATGCCTGGTACACTGTATGATTTTGGGCTGTCCCAGACACAATTTGACCAATCTTAGCGATTTTCCGTGGTCGTGGCTCCAAAAAGTTGGCCCAACGTCGTACATTTAGAGAAATTCAAAGACGGCCGTTGTCACGACCTTGCGACCAAAGTTTTTTCTGACAGTTTCAGAAAGTGTCAGATTAGCATGATAATCTCAAGTGTGTTTGCTGCTATGACCTACGTCTACTGACTAGCCAATAAAAATACAACATGAAATGGCGTATTGATCAACGTGAAAAAATCCCTATACTTACTTAAAGCTCCATTTGCAAAATTGGCTTGCCAAGTTGGCCTCTTTTCCCTAGCCAAGACCGTGTCCATATTCTCCTCTTTCCCTTCTTCTTTTTTTAGCGTACATTAAAAACCACAATTGCCAAAGTGGATTCATCTTGCTCTATTTGTTTACCACTAGCACATGCTGATTACATTTTATTCTTCAATTCTAACTTGCGTCGTAGCCTACGATTCAATAGGTTTCATCATTGTACAATCTTCATCCATGTCGTACAGTGTGATTTGTAACGATCTTATAGCGTTGCCGTAATCGCACAGTCTGTAGCAGGGATTACGCAAGATGTCCGTCATGTGGCTGCACCAGTCATTTCTTTGTGGAGGTATTGGAAGCGTGGAACTGTTATCGTAGGGCTGACGTATGGATGGCAGTGAAACAAAACTCTCCATGGGAAAACTCAGACTCTGATAGCAGCCTTGCATCTTTGAGGAACGACATTCTCCCACTCACAAACAGACAAGTGGATATTCATTGAGCAACAATAGGAGGGTCATGGTAGTGCTGGAGATGTGCTCATTCAGGCTTGTGGAGTCTGGTCTCGGCAGCATGGACTGAGAGATAGACGGAGCTCTGATCCTCCCACACGTTCTGGAGATACCAGGCAGATTTCCTGTTTATGAGCTAAAGCTTTGATACAAGCTCTGCTGCCCAATGGCATCAAAGGCTGTGAGGACCCAGAAGATAAAGATACAAGACTTCAAATGACCCGCTGCTGACTCTTCACTGTAGATGTGCAAAAACACACGCTGATGCAGTTACACTGAGCATGCTCACATTAACATGACGGTTCTCCCTTGTACACATGCATAATTGAATCATGCATTGAAGCCACCAATACATGTAAATGTGTACAATTGTTTGTTTTTTTTCTTATTTCATTGCAAGCATAAACCTTTCAGTTTTGTTGGATTTATACTTGAAAACACTGCCAAATGATTCTTTTTTGCACTGTGTTCTCTCTTCTACTTTTCCATTAAACTTCTGCTCTGAGATATAGTGGATAGCTAGTAAGACTGACTTTAGGTGTAGACAGACATGCCGTAAACTAGCCAGTGTCGACTGTGCAATTTGTGAGACTGTCAAACTCTTGAGGTAATCAAAAGGCCACCAGCTTCATGTCTCAGATATTTCCTTGACATGAGCACAAATCACGTTCTGAATATCTCCCTCATTCTGTCCTATCCAAGCAGAGAGCTCAGGAAAATTACTGCGCTGGAGTGATTTCAGGAATGATTGATTCTGATCTGCATGGGTCAATGTGTCTTTATGCAGGTTCAGCGCGTTGGGGTTGAGGGCCAAAACTCTTGAAAAAAATTTAATGTGGTCTTTGGATAAGGTTTCAAAAATATATCCCATCAACTGAGCAGTGCTGGCAGGCGGAGGAGACCAAAAGGTCGAGACCTTGGAAGGATGAGCCTCGCTGTGAAGTTTGGAGCGGAGCTGGAGATTTCTGGCCTGAGATGGTCCACCCCATGCTGAGAAGCACAGCATAAAAAGTGACTTTTATAACTCGATGGACTGTTGATGTTTTAAAACATTGTGAAAGTGAAAAAGAGGCTGTGCTTTTCACGTTATAAAGACGCTTAACAAAATGCTTTCAAGCCAAATGTAATCTTTATTTTTCTGTTTCTGTACAAAAAGCACGGGATCACAGGGAAAAAAAATCTGAAAAAAAACATGCATTTATTTACAGCATGGTCAGAGAGAAAAAAGGAAAGTAGAATACATCTCCCTATCTGAATTCTAAAGACATTAAGTAAACATTGTGCTTTGATATATTTTGATATAATATTTCATATTTCACAAAGATGCAGTACCTTTCTTCATTTCACTTTGAGTTCAACATTTCCAAAGAAAACAGGGTTTGTGAAAGAAAGCAGAAGCCAGCTCTCTACATCTATGACAAAAAACCTTTCACAAGCTATTAGGAAACTCAATGCATGGGTGAAATGGATGGACGTGTGTGTGTGTGTGTGTGTGTGTTTGACTCTGTCCAGCCAAGCTGGATCTCTGAGATGTTTTCATGTGAACTTTGAGATTGAATTCAGCTGTTGTAGTATAATAGGGCACTGTCAAATTGTATTTTCTTTACCCCATTTATGTCTAAACCCCAAAAGGACGAATATGAAGTAATTAGGTCACCTGTGAAATTAAAAGAGGTCTTCAGAAACCACTATTTCTTTCACATGTCATCTTTGCAAACACACACCTTCACATACTTCAAGAAAATAGGAAAAAAAAAAAAACATGACTGCAATATTAAAATTTTACGTCGTTTTCAAGTGCTCACAGTTAGTGATATTTGGTCGTGTCCAACCAAAGAAACCACCTTCATGAAGATGACAACCTGCAATATGTTGATCACCTCAGTCATATTTCCTCAATGATTTTCCACATTTTCTCTACTGTGAAAATTGCCATTTTTAATGCATCATATCACAGACTTAGACTTTTTTTTTCTTGATTTTTGATTTGGAATGTTGGAGCACATCCTATTTTAAGGCATCATTATATCTCCTTCCAATATTTAATTTCACAGCTAATCCACTGAAATGTGGATAGCGATTTGCATTTAAATACAGATTGCATAACTTGTGCATGTGTGCGCAACAGTAACAATATCACTAGCCACACTGACCTCACTGAATGGTTCCACGTCAAAATGTGCTCCGTTTCAACAGGTTTGGACATCTCTGAAACTGTCCATTTCTGGACATGTGATACAATAATCATGTGGCACATTAGATATGACAGCATAGAAATTTTGACATTTCACCAGTCGATGCAGTGTGGCGAAACAACGAATTTCTAATGTAAAATAAACCTCAACAAGGACAGAGAAGTATTATGGAAACATTTTAGAAACATCAACAAAATCACATGATGAACGATTTTAGCTATAATGACCAAAGCAAAGAGTAATCCCCCCAAAAAAAAAAAATTCATCTGAAAACATACTGGTGCATATTTGTATAAGTTTTTCTCTTTTTTTGTTCTTTTTTATTATCATTATTATTTTCTTCTGCTTGCTAAGATACATAGCTCTTGTAAGTGCCCCAACAAAAATAGTGCATTAGGAAATAACTATGATCATACACGTTTCACAAGAACACACAAGACAAGAGGAGGAACAAGAACACAAATGCTTTTAGCAAAAAGAAAACATTAAATATACGATTGAAAAAATGTTTTGTCGATTTGTTTTTTGTTGTTTTTTTTACAAAAGTGGTGAAGTTTTACACCCTGCTTTAAAAAAAACAGGTGTCCTGGTCATGTCCAGACCTCTTTTTTTTTTTGTCATTGTTGTTTTTGTTTTTACAAAAAAAAGTGTAATCCCTTTTATTTTTCACTCTTTTTACAATATCTAAAAGGTATTAAGACATCAAATGTGTTGACAGATATTTGATACTATTATTCAGGCCTAACTCACCAAAGAAATCCCGAAACGAACTTTATAAATACATACAAAAAAGCACAATAAGAAGTTCAACAATAAGTCTGGTACCTAAATGTGATTAAAACTGCAGAAAGCATTTCTGGCTTAAATCTACCTATCCACACACCTGGAACTACACTGGAACTACAGAAACAGTATGAGGAAAAAACGGCTGACATCCATCATCCTGATCATTGCTATATATCACGGTTTTCAGTCTGGGATCATTTCGTCTTTGTGCACCACTCTGATGGTTTCAAACAAAAGCGGATGGGAATAAAATCAGCTTGATGTTAAAAACCAAAGACATTGCATTTTGTAAATAGGGATGAATCGTTTCCGACTGGTTTTGAGCTGTGGCAGTCCCATCTGGATGAGTGGCGTCTCTCTTCTCACAGTGGAAACAGGACAGACATACAATATGAAACGAACAGAGAGGAACCAGTTTATAGACAACATCAGCCATGCAAAGAAGCCCCTACGGTCGTGGACATATCAAAACCTCGGCTTCTCGTTCACATTGCGATATTATCCAGCTTTTATTGTCCTGCTCGAAATGCCACACGGTACGGCGTTCTCAGAGTCTCCAAGGATGAAGTCGTAGAGGGCAAAACAAACACATCTATTGACATTTCAGGACATGGGACATTTTCATATATATATATATTTTTTTTTTAGTGATCCAGGTGTAGATGTTCTTTTCGGGCAGCTCCTCGTAGGACTGGTGATGTTCAATAAGGGAGTGGCAGACAGATTTGGTGAGCCAGTGAGTTTGTTGTGGGCTCAATGAAGCCTTAGAGGAAGATCAGGTTCCTCTTCACATGGGAGGGACAATCAGACCCGCCATAGCTGGAAGAGAAAAACAACAAGAGGTTAGTCGACCAAAATAGAGACGGTTCAACAGATATGATCTATTTGACTTGGATATACACTGCAAAACAATGATTCTCTTACTCAGTCTTGTTTTTTAGTACAAACATCCAAACATTCTTAAATCAAGATACATTTGACTTAGGATATTAATTAACTTAAGGCTTAAGTCTAGTCCCAGACTAAAATGTATGCTTAACTGAAAACAACTTGCACTGACATATCTTAAAATGTCAGTGCCCTTGTTTTGTCTCAAGATGCACACCAGTAATTGTTTTTTCTAAGGCACGTTTATAAAATCTAATTAAATGTCCTTATTTAACTAACGCCGAGTCCTGGCTTAGTCTAAGTCTAAGTCTTTTTTTCTGAACAAATTCTCAAAATTAAGTGAGTTTATGTTTTGTCAAGGACAATGATCTGCCAATGGCGTCAGAAAAAAAAAAATCTTTTATAAAAAACTAAATTTTTGTTGTCAATTTTTAAGAAAGCAAGACTTAAAATCACAAGTCATTTTTCTTCCCAAGAAAAGGTATCGTGATTTAAGAATGTTTAGATATTTGTATTGGGACAGAAAATCATTAGTTATAATTTTTTTTTTTTTTTTTGCAGTGTATGACCTATTGAACCATACAATTATGGTTATTACGGGTCAATAGTGCAGCTCATTCCACAGTCAGTCTGGAGTGTGTAATATTTTTAGCTAAGCTAACATTTCTATAGTTTAACAGTTTAAAGTTAAGAGTTTCCTTAGTACAAACTGATCTGCAGTCATATTGTAACATTTTGAGAATATAAGAAAGTTTTAGGGGCTCATAACATGCAAGTAACATGAGAAGTGATCTTTTATGAATAAGTTATTGACTCCATACAACTCTGAAGTAATTTTGATACTATTTTACACTAATTTGCCCCAACAGACATCACCACCTGCATGAAAAACTAAAGCATTTTTTTTTTTGCTGTAAATGCAACCAATTTAAGTAAAAAGTAGAAAGTTATGGATCAACTTTGTCCTCAAAAATGTAGTGCCATTTGTTTTAGTTGACACATTCTAGAGGAGGGTCTTGTTTCCTGATTGGCTCAGAGTCAGGAGTGGGGTGGGGTGCTCACCCTGTAGGCTGCTCCCATTGGTGCTGGTGCAGGTGGGGGGCGGGGAGGTCTGTGGCCGGACGACAGGCGCGAAGGCGCTCTTCTGTTTGACTGCAGAGATCATATGGACAGGAGAGAATGAGAAAGGGCCCGCAGACAGAGAGATGGAAGTAGGGATGCATGAAGAGGAGGAGGAAGAGGAGGCATGGTGCTCCAATAGAGGACTTGAGGGGGTGACTGAAACAGACACACACACAGAGACACACACACACACCCGCACACACAAAGATGAGATTTATGAGGTGGGTCATGCCGATTGTTAGAGGGTTAATTGAAGGGGAGGGGCTATGGCAGAGTGAGGTATTATGGGAATGAAACCGTGTGCTACACCTGCATTGCAAAGTTGATCCATAACTTAGAACTCTTGAAGAATATTTATGTCAAAGTAGTCCACATTTGACTGCCAAACCACACTTTTGCTGAAGCATCAACATGAGAGCTGCTTTCTTTTATTGACACACGTATACGTAAAGCATTCCAATAGACGATATTATCAGGACATCTAATATGCGGTCATCTGCATGCTTTGAGAGAAAGACAGGTAATAAAAGCCAATGGTCTTGGCGCTGAATCTTGAGCAGAAAGCTTGAGCTTGCTCACCAAACTGGAGTAAAACCCACAATGAATTTTCTTCAATGAAATTCCAATTGAAAACCCTTGCCAACTTGTTTCCCATTTTTATAATGAATGGAAAGCAAACCTGCCCCGAAACAGCTTTGCGCAAAGCTCGGCCTGCCAAACAAGTGCCAATCACACAAAATACAGCTGCTATATATCGAATATATGAACAGTCTTCAGTATATAAACCTCATTTGTAATTGTCAGGCCTCCAGCATTGTGATTCCCCCCACAAAAAAAAAAATACAGTAGCAGCAGACGTATTTACATGAAAGTGCAGACAGAAAGCTCACTATCCTGACCGCAGCGAGAAAGCGAACGTGTGACGGAGTGAGTGAGAGGCATGGAGGAGTCGTTAATGTGTTAGACATGAAAGGAGATGAAAAAATATGAGTGTTCGTGGAGTTAGTTCGGATGGAGACTTTCACAGTGCATGGAACAGCAGACAGACAATAACCTTTCCCTCACAGAACACGCAGACAAGCAAACAACCTTAGCATGTCAGATCAGAATTAAGACGCTGGCTGAGTTGAGACCAAACATGCCTGTTGTGATATCCAAAAATCACAAACTTTTTAGACTCACAACAGTTGAATTTAGACAACCATTCAGAATCCTAAACATACACTGATGAGTTAACAACAACCCTGCTGAAACAATCAGTATCTAACATATCCTGGCTGGTTTGTTGTAGTTGATGAATCAGTCTACACTCTTAAAAAATAAAGGTTCTTTATTGGTATTGATGGTCCCATGTAGATCATCCATAGAATATCCATTGCTCAAAAGGCTCTTTATAGTGGAAAAAAGGTTCTTCAGATTATTAAAATGTTCTTCAGACTAAAGACTGCGATCAAAACTAAAACTAAACTTCTTCATTGTAGGAATTCAAACTCCTGAAATGTGTTTTCTCTTATTGCAAATACCTTCAAAATACATCATTCAAATTAAACATTTATCTTTTTTAAGTTTCCCAGTTAAACCATTCCAGCACAAAAGTGCAGTTCTTAGTTTTTAACCCGGCCTTAAATACCCGTAAAAAAAAAAAGTGAGCTGTGGTTGGTTGCTTTTCAGTCAAATTAGGGTGGTTTGAACACTGCATATGGAGAATATAGTGCATATCGCTGAATTAAATTTAATGCCATTTCCAAAATCTATATTCGTTCTCAGGTGTGCAAACCTCATACATACATTCCTTTTTGTCAAGCACTTTTTAACAAAACAAGACTTTTCCAGGTATTGCAGGCCTTTTACAAGCTTAATTCAAACACATCAAGGACCTTGTGCGAACCCTGTATAAAGTTTTAATAATCATTGCCATATAATAGGGAAGTCCACACCACAGCTATAACGATAATGACACAGAGGAACAATATTATTGGAATCATTTTCAGAACGTTTTTTTTTCAAGCTGATGAGTGATTAAAAACAGCCAATTGACTGCCAATTGGCCTCCACCTGACTTTAAAGCACTCGAGCATTTAAAGCGGCAGGTGACATAACTGCACTGCACGCTAATAAACAGGATGTAGATAATTATAGTTATCATTATAGGTGTGAACAGGCCTTAAGAAAAGAACTGTCCACTCAAAGGTTCTTTGGGAACCCAAAATGGTTTGGAACACAAAATTGTGCACCCAAACCCCCTTTTGGAACCTTTATTTTTAAGAGTGTAGCCTAGCTAGTGAGGCTAACTGAAAGTGGAAAGTCTCGCTGGTTAAACTAGTTAAGAAGCCCAATACACATTTCAGGATCTGTTAGCTGACCAACAGGACACTCACTTGCGTAAGGAGAGTTGGCGGCGGATCCGTTGAGGAAACTCGGGGATCCAGGGACGCCCAGGTTGGTCATTCCGGCTCCGTATCCGTTCATGGTGGAGGTGATGGTGTTGTAGTTGGACTGTTGAGGTGTGGAGGTCGGCACGTACCCGCGAGGAGACACGCTGTTTGAGTTACGAGAGTAACCTGGAACGTAAGACACAGCGACAGGTTAAGGAGGACACTTGTAGCTTGAAGTTCAAATATGAACCATGTCAGCCCAGGGATTTGTTAAGTTTGCTTATTAAGACGCTTGATGTGATTTGTAGATGTTGCAGTTGGAATAATGTGTGTGTCTGTGACATGCTGGGTTTGTGTTTCTAGTGGGTGGAAAACATTGGTAAGTGTGAGAACATTTACCAACAAGATATCCGACCGCTGTTAAGAAAGCACTCAGTACAGTCAAACAAAGCTTTGTCTATGTTCCCATAAGCAGCAGCGTTTGGGTGTTTTGGACTCTTTTCGCCTGGCGGTTGGTCAGAGACAGGAGCAGAGCCATATTGACAGACATGGAGATCACCGAGACTTGAGAGAGAGCTCTTTTAGACAGTAAGTAAAAACCCTAGTAACCACCTAGGATGAGGAAGCAGAGGAGTACAAAAAAATTAAATAAAAAAAATTATATGATATGATAGAGAGTGCACTGAACGTTTTCCCCCCATTTTAAGCAACGTTCTATTGTTTCAACTTTCAAACTTATTAAGGTCATATTCTTTTAATACAAGTTTGTTTACGTAATGTATTTCTATAACAGCAAAGCCGAATTTTCAGCATCATTACTCCAGTCTTCAGTGTCACATGATCCTTCAGAAATCATTCTAATATTCTGATCTGATGCTGAATTTTTGAAAACTGGTTGTGCTGCTCAATATTTTTGAGAAATCGTGATACGTTTTTTTCAGGATTCTTTGATGAATAGAAAGTTCAAAAGAACAGCATTCGTTGAAAATATTATATTTTTGTAACATCGCAAATGTCTTTACTGTCACTTTGATCAATAATTTTCTATTTCTTTTTACTGACCCTAAATTTGGAATGAATTTCAATTCGATTTAGTAAGAAAAGCAAATGTATAGTTTTAAACTGGAAAGCAAGTAATAAATTCAGAAAATCGTGACATTTTTTGTCTAACAGATCAACGGCCCTTTAACATGATTTAGTCACATGAGTGGCAACATAACTGCATCATAAGATACAAATATCATTCGTTAGCAGAGAGCCGATGTTGGTTAATCTAAAAACTTCCCTAAATAAACCGTTACCTACGTGGGTTGATAAGCTGCATAAAAGAGGTGGTGTGTTCTGTAAATCAGTTTGCAACTTAATTAGAACTTGAAACAATAATTAGTTTGATGGATGAACGAGAAAAAGCAGCAGGCTAACCGAATTAAATCCTGCTGAAGTTTCACTGCATACGAGCATGAAGTATGAAATGCAATATTTTTATAATAGCTAACGGCCCTTTCCCATGACCTCATGGATTCCTGTAGGTGTTCCTTTCCTGCGTGAATGAGGAAAACAGACGAGAGGAGAACGGGATGAGTGCTAGCAGGAGGGAAAGCAGAGAGTGTCAAGGGAGAGAGAGTGCCTCTGTCTTCCTGTGTGTCTCTCTCTCTCTCTCTCTCTGATATAAGGAGAGTGATCTGTTCATCTCACTTCCTGTCTGTGAGTGTCAGAGCTGGTGGGTGAAGAGAAACATGGCTCGGCGCTGCGATATTGAAAACACTTGTGCATGGAAATGCTCACACACAGGGCATGAGATCCACGCATGCAAGTCCAAAGGAGATTGCAGTTCTGTTTATTGACACGAGTGGTGCAGAAATGACATAATTCAGATGTTTTAAACAACTTCTTAGTGGCTTTTTAAGCAACTTTAACCAATCATGTATACATTTTATCCATTTATGTGGAACCAAACTCATGACCTTGATGTTGACACCATGCTTTAGCAGTTATTATTACAATTTAAAATAACTATGTGCATGTATTTTAAAATGTAATTTTCATGTGATATCAAAGCTGAATTTTCAGCATCATTACTCAGACTTCAGTGTCACATGATCCTTCAGAAATCATTCTAATATGCTGATTTGATGCTCGAGAAACATATCATGCTTTATGACGTTGCTTTATGAACGCTAAGTGTTTGTCATCTCTCAGAATTGTAAACCATGCTTATAATCTTGGTTTTAATACACAGACATACCCAAGTGCATGCATGCTTTGCTCATATACTGCGTTTGCATTTGCAAATAACGTGTTTGATTCATGTAGCGCTGTCATTCTGAGTCTCTCGGCTCGTTCACAGCCTGTGGCTCACACTTCTCTCAGGAGTGACAGGGAGTGTGTACACACACAGACTCACTCTGATGAACGTGTCGTTTCTATGGGCAGGTGAGTGTGAGTGGCAGTTTTGAGTGCTGTGGGTGACAGGCCTGCCAAAACACAGCCATGTGATCGTCATGTGCAGTGCTGCTGGTCCGGGGCTGTATTTAGGTGTGAAGCTCACCAAAAGACAGATGAACAGATCCAGACACGGACTGACAGACTGTGTGACTGAATTTAACTGTTGAGTTTGTCAAGTAGCTTTGAGTTTCGAGAAATCATGAAATCATGTTTCAATCAGAACCAGTCAAACACTTTGTACGGCTGTCAACGCAACACATTAGACAAATGAATTCGAAAGAAAATAGTGCGATAAAAATATGAACACAATTAAGCATGACCCTTGAACTGTGTGTAAATTAAGTACCACCTTCAATCGAGTCTTGATTCTATTTTTTTTTGTAGCTGTGGTGGGCTTCATGTTCAATGATATAGAGATAAAACAAACAATATATTGACTTTTAAATATTGATGTATGCAGTAAATTTGATTAGATTGACAGCCGTACATACAAGTTTTTGAAGTGCATGTGTGATTCGGGACTTAAATACTGCATGTCAACACACACACTGACCTTGGTCTCCCTGTGAGGCCTCAGAGATGTTGACGGCGAGCTGGCTGCTGAAAGAGTTAACTCCCATCATGCCTGAGTGAGCGCTGGAGCCTGTCAGCGAGGGCAACTGGTTATGGCTCCGCGGCACGCTGTACAGCGCCTCCGTCAGGTCTGCAGCTCGCTTTAAAATGATCTCCTGACCAATACAGAGAACAGCGAGAGAGAGAGAGAGAGAGACGGAGAGAGAGAAAGGGTTGAAATGGGTTTCAAGATATTAAATTAAATGGTGACTCCAACCATAGCAAAAAGTATAAAAGAAAACAATAATGCTCTTGAATAAAAAATGTTAAACAAAAAAATGATTTATTATTAATATTAATAGAATCATATTTTAGCATGATAAATAGCTTAACAATATTTTTTTTATAATTATTATACTTTTTTTAAAAACTATAATAATTATACAATTATAATTCATTCAGCTTATCGAAATTTAAAGATATATAAATATCATTATATAAGACATAATATAGACATAAATTATATAAGTAGTTACATAAATTATTATTAAAAATATAAAACTCGTGATATATTGGTAACGCTTTCTTTTATACTATATTTCACATCAAATGTTATTATAAATAATTCTATATAAATACACATTATATGAATTATTCTTAATAATAATAATAATAAATATATGTCTTAAATATAACTATAAAATATTTAAATAGTATTCATTATTTAAAGTATATTTAATTTTTCATAAAAATATATAATAATATAATGTGTTTTTAAATATAATTATTTATAATAATTCTATATAAAAACACAAATTAATTATTCTTTATATAGGCTATATATATATATATATATATAAAATTACTAAATATTTAAAAAGTATTGATTATTTACACACACACAACATACAAATCAGCTAACTCCATATAAAATCATGTAATTTCTTGTGATTTTCATACCTGATTATTATGAGGCATCCCATACAGTGCCTCCACCAGGTCTGCGGCTCTCTTCAGCAGTACCTCCTAATAACACACACAAACACACAGCGTTTAGTCCAATACTCCAACTCTGACACTGTAAATCAGCACTGTTTGCATCTCAAAACATAAACAATGCCGCACAGCAAAAATGAGCACCATAAAAAAGTATAATTAGGCTATATAAAATAAATAAATCATGTTCTCTATGTTTCAAGTTTTCCCAAAGTTATTTACTATATATAAGCAAGCCATGCTCAAAAAGAGAAACAAAACATGTGATGAGGCGGACAGAAAAAGAAGCTGTCGGAATCTCATTTACACCAACCTGTCACACACACACGTACACACAAATACACGCACTCAACCTGTGCCAAATCACACAAGCAGTGATCCAGGGCTGCGATCCTTTCAGACTACACATATGCTCCACTGTCATTCTTCACACGGCGTGTGTGACTGTGTGTGTTTGTGCGTGTTATCCTGTAGTGTTCCTGTGTAAGTCACACGTTTCCACTGGCCCACAGACTCCATTCTGGTCTCACTGAGAGAACTGAAACCAAGAGAGGACATGAGCACTTCACAACGGCTTCTGCTCCGTACTTAATTCACTTCTATACATTTTCACTCCTACATTTTGTCTTCGCCCCAGGGCACCTCCTTTCCACTTCACTGGTGGAAACATCACTTTCGAACAACACATTGGTTTTATCTATTTACCTTGTCACAATAAGTTCTGTCATTTCTAATTGATATTAGTTTTTATGAGCTTATCAGTATGTGTTATTGTACAGAAATAAAATAATAAAAAAATAATATATATATATAACCTTTTCTATAGAATACTTTTCTTTCTGCTAACAAATTCTACATTTTTTTTCCCGCTTAGAAATACAATAGCATTCAAAAGTTTAGAGTCAGTAACTATTTCTTACGCTCACCAAGACTGCATTTGTTTGAACATAAAAAGTAATATTGTGACATATTATTGCAATTTAAAATAACTGTTTTCTGTTTTAATATATTTATTCCTGTGATGGCAAAGCTGTATTTTCAGCATCATTACTCCAATCTTCAGTGTCACATGATCCTTCAGAAATCATTCTAATGCTGATTTGATGCTAAATACACGTTTCTTATTATTATCAATGTTGACAACAGTTGTGCTGCTTCTTCTTTTTTTTTTTTTGTGGGAACAGCATTTATTTGAAAATAAAATATTTGTAACATTATAAAGATCTTTAATGTCCCATTTGATCATTTTAATGTTCCATTTTTAGTTCCCCAATGAACCTTTAAGTGAACAGTTCTTAAAATAATACTTTTTTCTTATTGTGAAGAACATTAAAAAAAAAAAAAAAAAAAAAAAACTTTTTTTCCACTGTGGATGTTAAAATTTCTTCATGTAACCACTGATGCCAATAAACATTTGAGCGACCATGTTCAGGCTAAAGAGGAGCCTCTCTCTCTCTCTCTCTCTCTCTCTCTCTCTCTCTCTCTCTCTCTCTCTCTCTCTCTCTCTCTCTCTCTCTCTCTCTCTCTCTCTCTCTCTCTCTCTCTCTCTCTCTCTCTCTCTCTCTCTCTCTCTCTCTCTCTCTCTCTCTCTCTCTCTCTCTCTCTCTCTCTCTCTCTCTCTCTCTCCCTCTCTCTCCTCTCTCTCATACACACAGCATTCAGAGACAGAGAGAGGTGTGGAGGTGATACAGAGGAAGCCAGAGCTGGTATTATGGCAACCTCTACTGGAGCTCCCTGGGGTATTACATTGAAACCTACCCTACACACACACACACACACACACTTCACATGGCTGTATGAGGACAGGAAACAAAGAAAGAGACAGATGAAAGTATAGAGTAAAACACAGACAAAGAGAGAAAAGATTGACCCAAAGAACTACAGATGCAGTTCATGAAATCAGGATAAAACGACAAAAAAGAGAGCAGGAGAAAGAGAGGAAACAGCAGAGTAATTGTAAATCTCATGACGAGAGGTGAAAGAGAGAGATGCAGACAGAAAACAGTGCTGAAAGATGAGCAAAGGGGGAAAGGGTTGGAAGAAAACAAAGGAAAAAAGACTCGAGGGACAGAGAGAAGACAGAAGAAGACAAAGTGAAGGAAATGTGCACAAATAAAGTGGAATTGAGTGAGTGAGTGAGTGAGTATGTTAGGAGACAGAGAGAGAGAGAGAGAGAGAGAGAGAGAGAGAGAGAGAGAGAGAGAGAGAGAGAGAGAGAGAGAGAGAGAGAGAGAGAGAGAGAGAGAGAGAGAGAGAGAGAGAGAGAGAGAGAGAGAGAGAGAGAGAGAGAGAGAGAGAGAGAGAGAGAGAGGGGAAGTTCTAGTTGTTTTTCTCCCTCAAGAGTTGCCAGGTAAGAGGCAGCTGGGGTTGCTGGCAAACCTATCATTACTGTACTGTGAGAACAACAGCCTGTGTCTGTACACACACACACACACACACACACTCACACGCACATTGGAAATATTACACTAATTCTACATTTGTACACAATTCAAGCATGTTGAAATTAAAGTAAATGTTGCTTATATTTACAAACAAGTATCGACCGCAAAGCAGAAAACCCTATTAACAAATCTGAGTGTATTACAAAGGTATAAAATCAAGTAAAATACACTTAGCTTTACGGTACTGGTGTTGCCAGCATACACAAGGGTATGAATCATTAATACGGCTGTGTACTTTAGCCGATTTTATTTACACCATTGTTATTGTTGCATTTGATTATTACATTTGGAAATTTGTTGTTTAGACATCTGGGGTTCCTTTTCAAAAATAGTATAAAAAAATACTCTTTTATACGTTTTACAACGTTATCTACGAACCATTTTATCTTCTGAAGATTTAGACAGAAAAAGGTTTTGCGCAGATTTGTCTTATTTCTATGGCCATTTCTCTGAAATTGTCTCCCCCAAAAAGTGCATCTAGGCTAGAAACACACAAATAAAGCTAAAATACACAAATATACCTTAATACTTCATAATAAAACATGCAGAGTTCATGCTGGAACTTTAGTTCTCAAATAAGTAATAAGTAAATAAATGTAAGTAAAAATCACAAATCTTACTTTTCAATGTATTGTTCGTAAATTAAACTATAAACGATCCCTAACCTTAAAACAAAGCTTTTAGCATTTTTAGAAATGAATAAAGACACTATTTACGAACCATTTCATTTTATGAATACATCAACAAAAACAGTTCTTGATTGTTCTTATATCTATGCTTTTCAGATTGTTCTTATATCTAGGCACATTTTTAGACTGTCTGTCCCCAAAAAGTGCATCAAGGCCAGAAATACACACCATACACACTTATGAAGCTAAAATAAACAAATATGCCTTAATACATGCAGAAAAGCAGAGCTCATGCTGGAACATTAGCTCTCAGGTTTCTCACATCTATGTCATGCCTGCATCTGTGAAGTGCAGCTCTTAGTGACTGTTTTATGCCAGGCCACGAGGCCCTGAAACTGAACACTTTCTGGCGGAGTTTCTGAACACACTGTGTGGAAACTGTTACATTTACGAGGAAGAACAACAGTGGCCTTCAGATCAGGCAGAGAGGCAGAAACATGCTCAGGAAACCACCAAATATTGTGATATTCCTTTGGAGTTTAACTTTAAGAGCTCATCTGGGACTCTTTGCGTGGTTGTGCTCACACACACATGCAAGAGAGGATCGGGGGGCATATGGAGATGGGGGCACTAGGCTTCCTCCTCCTCCTCATCCTCATTTACTTGCATTTCCCACGACAAAATATGACCTTAGAACTAACAATCCTTCCTCAGCCAATCAACAACGAGCAGTAACGATCCTCACAGATGGCTCAAGTCAATGACAAACACGAGCAAGAGAGAGAGAGAGAGAGAGAGAGAGAGAGAGAGAGAGAGAGAGAGAGAGAGAGAGAGAGAGAGAGAGAGAGAGAGAGAGAGAGAGAGAGAGTTGAGACCTTGTGCTCGGTTGTTCCTGCATTATTCAATTTAACATGTTTATTCAACCTTTACAATAGTTATAATGTGATGAGTAGGAACTCGTTTTGTAAACTCCAAAACCGAATAGAAAAAGTGACATGATTAGAATAGAACGAGAACAAGAGAGCACCTTTAAAACACCCAAAACAAGACCTCCCGAAATAACCTGTGCACTATTTACACAAAAAGAATATTTAACTATTATTATAACAATTTCACTGTTTTTTGAATATTGTAATAATATAATATAATATAATATAATATAATATAATATAATATAATATAATATAATATAATATAATATAATATAATATAATAATAAGAGATAGGCCTATATGTAATCTGAATGTCTGTCCAGGGTGTATAGTTCATTGTTATTAAAAACGTGTTTTTATTGCACTGTAAAAATGTTAAACAGATAAACAAACATTAAAACCAAATATTTTATTTAATATGACAAAATCAACCTTATTTAATTAAGATACAGCAACAAAATTTATTTTAAATGTCAAATCAGGTAGAAAAAATAATATTTAAGGTAACAACATCTTTTTTAATATGTATTAATTTAGTATATGAACAATACATATTTATATACCCCCACTGTTTAGTGCAATATCTTGTAATAAAAAAAGTTGCTGCCTTAACGTTTAAAGTACAATCAACTTTACATTAAACTGACTAAAAAATGAGTTAAATCTTGTATAACTTGAAAATTGGTCAACTTATTTGATGAGTTAAAGCAATGTATACGGTAAACACATGTTGTCATAACTTATTGATCATATCCTTTTTTGCAGTATACATCATTTTTATAGTATACTACTGTATATTATACATAAAATTGGTCTATTTTGGCTTAACCAAACTGTCTTTATACTATTTCATATTTTAATTCTTTAATTATGTGTATTGTTGTATTTATATGCGTGCACTGGGAAAAATTGTGTGAGCAAGCAAACTAAAGCTCTTTCTGATTATTGTATTGTTTTGCATTATTGTTATAGCACTCAGTTTTATGCATCTATTAGCGTAAAGCGTGTGCTTATGAGTGCAGTGT